AAAGTCGGCATCCTTGGCCTTTTGACTCTAACTCACCCCGGCCCTAAAGCTCTCACTGCCCGTCCCTGAACAAGGATTGTGTGCAAGAAAGGACACAGGAAGACAGCCACCAACTCACCTGTTTCTCCTTCCTCTGTCAACTGCTTTACTGTCCCCTCTATTTTTGTGATTTTGCCTTCTACATTTGTCTCTGCAAGGCAGAAAGTGGGATTAAGTGACGCTGCCTCTGTGATGGTGGCAAGCCGGGCATCCTTCTTCACCACCCCCACCCCCTCCAATTTGCTCCGTCACCTGCTTTAGCATCCGGGAAGAGCAAAAGAGAGATTAAAGCAAAACTGAAGCTGTTTTTTTAATGCCCTTGCCGTGGTGCAGAACAGGAGGCCAAAAAAAAGGGGGGGGAAATAAACAGGAGGAGGAAGCTGCTAACTAACATAGTAGAGGAGACAAGAAGACCTTTGCCGGGAACCATTTAAGAAAGGCTGGAAGTGTCGGAGAAAGAAGCTGCTAAGTAACTTAACAGAGGACCTAAGAGGGGAAATAGTACAAAAGGGAAGAAAAGTCAAGGTGGAGAGAGCGACTAATGAACACAATGGGAGGGCTTATAAGAACAAGAGAAGAGATTTGTTCAGCGCAAGATCAGACAAAAGACCGATCCGTCTTGCTGTTCTGGACTTAACAGTGACTACAATGCCCATTGAGCATCCTTTGCTACATGTTCCCCAACAACAGGTCGGGGTGGGGGGAGAGTGATAACTGCATCTGGAGGTGACCAGCGGCCACGATGACCAGTCTCTGCGGTTCTCGCCTTCCCCTTCCAGGAGCCCATCTCTAAGGCTGTCCTTGCTGGCAAGCCATTGGGGTGGCCAGGTCTCAGGGTGCCAGCTGAAATCATAGCCCGAAATCTCCGGCTACGGTCTCTCCTAAACCTCCTCTCGACCTTGACGTGGGAAGACGGGCGCAACCAGCTGCTGGCAAAGGAAGAACACGCTAGCTTTGGTGTGGCTGTAAAGCTTGGCTGGATTCCTGCAGCATCTGGTGCCAGGCGCCAGGGCTCAGTGGCTTGGCGCGATGGGGGTGGCCGGTGTAATACATGGCGGCACCAGCAGAGTAAGAAGCCTGGAGAGCAGGGGGTGGGGGTGGCGGTGCAGGTACTTTGCCCACCCCCTGTGCCATTTGAAGGAAGGCAGAGCATAGAGCATCGTACCCCACTCCCCCCCCCAGAACCGGCTGGCCCAGAGGCAGATCCCTCTCACCCGCCCTTGACTTCGCCCTCCTTTCTGAAGGTCCTCGGATCTCAGAGGACAGGAGGCGACCCACCAGGTAACCTGAGTGGCCTCCATTAGACATCGGGGCTCATGAACCCCACACTTTAACCCTCTACAGTAGTGCCTCGCTAGACAGTTACCCCGCATGACAGTTTTTTCGCTAGACATTGACTTTTTGCGATCGCTATAGCGATTCGCAAAACAGTGATTCCCATGGGGGAATTTCGCTGGACAATGTTTGGTTCCTGCTTCGCAAACCAGTTTTCGCTAGACAATGATTTTGACAGCTCTCTCTGTGCTCGCAAAATGGGTGTTTTTGGGACCTAAGCTTCACAAGACAGCTATTTAAACAGCTGATTGGCGGTTTGCAAAGCAGCTTTCCTATGGCCGATCTTTGCTAGACAACGACGATTCTTCCCCATTGGAACGCATTAAACAGGTTTCAATGCATTCCAATGGAGAAATGCTTTTCGCTAGACAATGATTTCGCTAAACAGCGATTTCAGTGGAACGGATTATCATCATCTAGCGAGGCACCACTGTACCTATAAAACATGATATGCTTTTTAAAAACCTTCCTTGTCCTCTCTCCCTTTCACGACATTTGTTCTAAACGACCACACCCCGAATGTCCTTTTTGTTTATTTATATTTTATTATTTATTTTGCAAAAGTCCATTCCTCTGCCGCTCAAACAGGCTTTCAGGGTAACCTACAACACTAAAGTGTACAAAATAAACAGCAGAAGAAAGCTGCCGAGGAGAAAGCAAACAGGGGCAGGTGCTGAAAAGCCGAAGCAAGGCAGGGAAAACACAAGGTTTAAGTAATCAGTTCCATGAGTCATTGTTAGATTTCAGAGAAGATTCCCTGGGACCCATCACAAGTGAAACTGGACAATACACACATCTTGGGGAGAATGTGACAGTGATAAGACTTTCAATTCTTGCAACCGTGAAAGAAAGATTGAAGCAGAGCCTCTTGATAAAGGTCTGTCCTCGTCAGCTCTGATGTGGGCATCTCGTAGCTCCCTGTGGCCCTGGGTTTTTGCACGTTTGCTCCTTCTCCTTTCTCTGATTTCAAAATCCATCATGTTACAGAAAGAAATATCTATGGATTACGTTTAGATGGAATCTTGTTGTATGAATAAATACTAGACGCTGTTCCAAGTCCTCCATACAGAGCACGTGACCATAGGCTCTCGAGACTGAAGGATGCCTAATTTTCTCTAATATGATGGTGGTGGTTATAGAAAATATAATGTTCCAAATATCTCATGGATCAGAGGAAGTGGCCTTGCCCTTAAAAGCTCAAATTAAAACAGAGCAGTTTGTCTTTAAGGGGCCTCCACGCTTTTGTCTTCTCTATTATCTGTTTCTCTTTTGCTTTTGGTCAAATAGGTTAAGGTTTCCATAACTCGTGCAGGAAATATGGGAACTGCAATTATTTTGGCAGCTCTTTTCTTTGCCTTCTCTAGATCTATGTGAGATATCCCCCCCCCCCAAATTGGGTGACAATCTGATCTCTACAGGAGACTTCCAACTGGGTCACATCACAGATGTGTATAATGGTTGTTGTGGGTTTTTTCGGGCTCTTTGGCGGTGTTCTGAAGGTTGTTCTTCCTGACGTTTCGCCAGTCTCTGTGGCTAGCACCTTCAGAAGACTGGAGTAGGAACTCTGTCCATCCTCTGAAGATGCCCATGGCCACAGAGACTGGCGAAACTTTAGGAAGAACAACCTTCAGAACAAAGAGCCAAAGAGCGTGAAAAACCCACAACAACCATCAGATCCTGGCCGTGAAAGCCTTCGAGAATACACAGATGTGTATACATGCAAGATGACGCAGGAGGACCGTTTGATTTGTGATTCCTTTCCTAATAATGCTCAGCATGAAGTTGCCTTTGGCGTCGCTAACAGGGCAGTTTTTCACCAGGAAATCCTGTTGACAAGTCTTTGAGCCTGAGTTCGAGTCTTTGGCACTAAGTTTGGAGTTCCAAAATCCAAGTCCCTATTAAAATCAAGCTTTTTGTCCCAGAAACAAAGGGAGAAGGTGAGTGGGTTCTGAGTCGCAATCTGAATCCAAGTCAAGTCTAAGTCAAGTCACCAGGGAGACTTAAATCTGACGTGAAAGAAAGGTGGGATAAAAATAGTTTAAGTAAATATAGAAAAATAAAATTGAGCCCTGTGACTTGATTCCTCACCCTTGATTTTCACCAAGCTGCCTGATACAACCCGTCCCCAGGAACTTCCCTCACCCAATCCCTCCCAGCTCAGACCTCATCAGCATATACGTCAAGTTGTGATTTCAACACACACCCCTGTATGCTTAAAAGTCCTTTGCTCTGATCATCCCCCATCTTCACAGCGCTCTTCTGAATCTTCCTGCAGTCTAACCCACCCTAAAGAACTTCCAAAGAGGGAATTTTTAAAAATTTTTGTCCCAGAATGTGTAACACATAGAGATGGGAACGAATTAAAAAAACAAATCATGATCTTTGTCAAAAAAATGGCCGATTCAATGAAAATACGTTGAACGTATTCTCGAAGGCTTTCACAGCTGGGATCCGATGGTTATTGCTGGTGTTTTCGGGCTGTCTGGCTGTGTTCTTGAGCTTCCTAACGTTTCGCCAGTCTCTGTGGCTGGCCTCTTCAGAGGACAAGAGTCATAGAGTTCTGACTCCTGTCCTCTGAAGATGATGGCCACAGAGACTGGCGAAACGTTAGGAAGCTCAAGAACACAGCCAGACAGCCTGAAAAACCTACAACAAAAAAAAAATGTGTTGCTTCGTATTCATTCAATATGGACAGCCTGATGAATACAAATTTTTACCTATTTTTGATTCGTCGATTCGTCTACCCTTTTTGGGGCCTCCTGGCAGAAATAAAACCAGGAATCCATCAAGGATGCAAAGAACCACTAACACAGAAGTGATTATCCTTTTACGCCGAAACCCACCATGGAAGCGTCTTTCGCTCACCCTTTGCCTGGAGAACGCCCATCTGCCTTGCGACGGTTTCGTTGATGTTTCTAAGAGTCTCCTCCAGTCCCCAGAGTTGTGAGCTGTAGTTACTGCCTGGTGACGAGGAGGAAAGAAAGCAGTAGGCATTGAGAAACTACACAAACCATCTGCCTGCTATCTTGATCCCACTTTTCTGCATCGGCCGTTCCCCTTATGCGCAGTCACGTCACTGCATTGTCTCACTCATCACGACAACTTGGGGGTGGTGGAAATCCTTCTTTTGGACTGCAGAACCCACGGCCGACTTAGAGGAAACCAGACCAGCTTTGCCACTGGAAGGTGATAAGGAGTTTGTTCTCCAGACATGTACAGTATTCCTTCTGCTTGGACAATCAACAGGCGAAGGAAACGGGGGGCTTATCTCCCAAGGAGCAAGCGGAAAAGGAAAAAGCAAGGGGTTTCGCTGCTTCCAGAGCTGAGAAACCTCGTGCTAGGATAAGCAAAGGAAATTTAACCTCTTAAGAGTTAACCCTTGTCATAATGACTTCCATTAAACAAACAAGCAAGAAAAAGCGACGCCATGCAAAGAAAAACGGATCTTTTCCAACCTCTGTTCTGATCCTTCCTTGGACTCCTGCTCACCTTTTCCTCGCACGCTTTTCTTCCTTGTACCCGGTTCTTTTTGACAATAGAAGGCTTATTTATTTTATTTTTTTGTTCGATATATCCTTTTCTTCCTTGTACCCGGTTCTTTTTGACCACGAGAGGGCTTATTTATTTATTTGATTTATATATCTCCCATCTGACAGCCAAGGCTTCCCTGGGTGGATTATTTACCTTTGACACCAAAGGCAAGGAGCACGATGGAGAAGATGCCACAGAATCCCAATCCGACGAGGACCAGCCGGCGGCTGGGGCAGAGATGTGGCTTCCAGGATGGCTTTGGGGGTAATCTCGTAGGCGCTGGGGAAGGAAGAAGGGGCGAAAGCACCAGGGCTGTGATGATAAGGGCACTTCTAGACTGGGTTACCCCCATTCACGAAAGTTGGCTGGCAATCTTGAGTTACACTGTTTTTGGTTTATGTTTATTGTTTTCGCTGGATTTCCCCTAGATTTCTTCCATCTTTTTCATTGCGTAACAAAAAAAAGGGGGTGGGATGACGCAGAGCAGTTGCACAATACAATGCAATTCTTACAGGGCTCACATCAGAGTTTGTAAGTTCAGCTCTCCAAGTAATTTTTCCCTAGACACTCACTGCAATATTTTAAAAAGTAACTTTTAAACTTTTTTGCATTCTTTTTCACTTCTCGGAGGATTGTTTGCAAAGCTGCCTGCATAAAAAAGCAGCTGGTATAGAATAACAGCAGAGGCAAAAATCTGGCACAGATGTTTTCCAAATCACCCTGCCCATGACGCTGGTTTGGGTCTAAGGATACCACAGAGCCGGTCATTTTGGGAGTCCCGGTTCCAGAGAGCTGTCTGGCCCTTCCCAAGAAAGTGGAGGAGTCATGGTGAATTTGCCCCTTTCGGTGGCCCACCACCTACGGTGGCTGCCTCACTTTGCCTAATGAAAGGGCCAGTTCTGTGTTCTTGTGGTCCATCTTAATAAGAACCCACAGCCAATTGGTGGCAGTTTTTACAATGTCGCATGATGTCTGTAGTTTGAGTGACTAAGAAAGACTTTTCCTGAGCTGAGATGACTGTCAATCTATCTAGCACTAACTAATCATTTCATCCAGCTTTTGGACTCAAAGAAAGCCCCACCTCTCTGCTGATAGTTCTGTCCCTCTCTTCCATCCATCTAGTGGCATTTATTTTTTGCTGTTGAACTGTTCGGATGGCTGCTAAGAATGTGTGCAGAAAAGAAAGCACTATACTGTAAGTAAAGAAACTTTTTTATTCTTTCTCCTACAACTTTCTCAGTGTGAGTTATTGAGACTTTCAGCACCAGTTAATGTGGATCTCTGTACTTCTGCTGTGTAGCCAAAAAAAAATTTTTTTTAACCAAAAATTAAAAACTATCCAACATAATCTTTGCTACTCGCGGTCAAGAGAGAGATGGGCGGACATGTTGAAGCCCCCAGGCTCTGTCAACGTTAAGAAATCCCTGACATTATCCCTTTTTGTATGTTATTTTGGCCCTTTCCCTTGGCACCTGAGGTTCCTCATGTATTTTGTTTTTCAATAGGTCACCTCGGCGGAGACCTTGAGCTACTTTCCTTGTGCATCGAACTGGCACCGGTTCCCCAAACCTCACAAGTCTTAACATGTGCTTTTCCTTCTTTCCATTTTGTCCCGAATTCCATCCAGCCTACACACCTTTTAGGATCGGTCTCCCGCCCTCCCCTTCCACGTCCAGGGAGGTGAGGTCTTGATAATCTTGGCTCATTGTGACTCAGACTCTGGAAGGGAGGCAGCTGCCTGCAGAGAGAGACACGGAAGAGAACGCTGGTTGGCACCAGGGATACCCAGGCACGCTGGCATCCATGCATGCCCAGCTGCATGCAAGGGGCCAGCAACAGGCGAGGAGACCTTCCATGCAGGCACTCTGCACAAAAAGGTCATGATTGCGGTGGTGCGCAATCTCTCCCAGCTGCCATCACAGACAAACGAGCAAGGCTTTTAGGAAACACTCTTTTTTTGTCCTGAAGTAACATTGCCTTTTGCTGGTCGGGTCATTTTTATCTCCCTTTCGGTGTAACATTCTGGGACAACACGAGAAAGCAAACGGGATTTCAAATACAGTTTTTTAAAAAGAGAGTGCATTGCACAATGGGAGACAGTAGACCGACCGACCAACCAACCGACTGACCGACCAACTGACCAACCAAAGCCCCATGCTGTTTTTCAGCTAAGGCCTTTGGAGCAAATTGGCCTCCTTTGAGAAGAATCAATATTTGTTTGTGATGTTTTTTTAAACCCCATCTTTCGCCTTAAAAAGGACCCAAGCTGGCTTACACGATTGGAAAACAATATTTAAAGCTCAAAACAAGAAGTACACAAATATTAAAAGAGAACAATCAAGTTTTGCTCTGAGAAATGATAAACACAAGCCATACTAAAGACACATTCGAAGCCGTTAAGGCATAACAGACCACTTTTTAAAAAACTCACTCAGGGAAGATAGTTATTGAGGGAAAGCTTGCCGGAAGAGAAAGGTCTTCTTCGCCTGCTTGCAGAAGGAGAGCCAAGAGGGGGCTAGGCTGGCCTCCAGTGGGAGGGAGTTCCAGAGTCTAAAGGAGCAGCCACAGAGAAGGCCCTCTAAATCGCCGTCCATGAAGGCATTGAAGGGAACATTTTAGGGTGAGGACAGGCCAGCCCAAAGCACTTTGCAACACCTAAAGCAAATAGGTGCATCGTCCACCCCATGAACAGGGACCGTCCGTAGAGTTCCAGAGGTTGGCCAGCTGAGCAGTCCTTCCCGGTGGATTATGCCCCGTGAATCAGCTTTGTTTGCTTCAACCCTGCGTTGTCAGCTCCCTCACCTTTTCTCTTCCGGAAGGTTCCCCACCCCTACCTCCATGAAAAGTGACATTTCCCCCAAATGTCACGCTCGGAAGGGCTCAGATCCTGCCCCTTCAAAGCAGCCTCTGCCAGGGCAACCCTGTTTGTGAACACAAAGCTGTTCATGATTTTGGTATTTTTCATCGTTCCGTACGTCCTATTCACCAGAAAAACTTGAAATAATTTTAAAGAAGTTTTATACTGGCTTTTTGCTGTTTTTGTCCCAGTGACTAAACATGTTGTCGAACTTTCCGTTGTTTCTTTGACCTTTTCGCTCTACCATGACCTTTAGCATTACGCTTTCCCCCCTTTGTACTGATGTCTAGGTACACCCGTCATGATGATGATGATGATGATGATGATGGCACCCTCTCTGGGATCTTGAGAGACTGCCCTCACCTTTGCCGAAGCCCCTGCTGTCCTCTGAAATCCATTCCCAAATCTCTCCTTCTGAGGCGCCAAAGGGCTTGGCATTTTTATTTTTGCTGCCACCCCGTGAGACCCTCTGCCGTCAACAGTCCCGCAGCAGAAAAGAGTCTTCCCCTTCTCCCCTCCCCATCCTGTTTGTCCACAAGCAGTCTTTGGGACTAGAAGGGACAGCCTACAGCATCTCGATCTCTCAAACCTTTGGTGGGATGTCACTGGGACACCATGAGCCGCTCACCTTGGCCTCCGAGGGTGTCACCACTTCGCCGTAGAGGAAAAGACAGGCGGGTGCAAAGCCTAGACCTGGAAAGCCCTGTGTCCGTCTGTCCGTCCGTCCTTCCGTCCGTCCTTCCGTCCGTCTTTCCCCGTCCTCCTTCTCTGTCCCCCTCGGAGGCTTGGGGGCAATTCCGCAGGTGCTATTTGGAGTGACTCCCTGTTGACTCGCTGTTTGGAGTGACTCCCTGTTGACTCTCTCTGGTGCTCTTCCCCCCCCCTCCGCCCCCCGAATCTGGGGATCTTTGTACTGTCAATAGCTTTCTTTTTCCAGGGCACGGTTACAGGAAGAGGTTGCTCCCAAGCGGTCCACCGGGCCAAAAGCGAACATTCGGGTCCCGCACCCCACCCGGCAGCTGCACAGATGCCCGCCGCGTCCTCTCCCTCCGGCGCCCTTTGCAAAGGGGAAGTGCCGCGTCTTGTTTTCTCCGCAGAAGAGCATCTCCCAGGAGAGGAAGCCCACACCGAGGGCCAGCTGTGGCGGAACGGAGGCAAGCGGGCAGCAAGCCGTGCAAAGGAAGAAGGGAGGACGTTTGGGTTTTGAGCTTCAAATGTGCTAAAAATCAGCAGCCGCAACATCACGCACCATCACATCAATTCTGAGCGATGGGGACCCTTTCCAGTGTTTTCTAGAGGCACAAAGTAACTCAGAAGTGGTTTCCCATTCCCTTCTTCTGTGACTTTTTCTGGGACTGTGTAGCTCGCCCAAGGCTACCCAGGCTAGCGCTATACCTTGGAGGCCCAGTGGGGATTCAAACTCCCAGCCATATTCTTAAACCACTGAGCTGTCCAGCCAGCTGGAAAGGATACTACCAGCGAATATTTTGGTGGGATAACCAGAGGTTGCAACGTCAGTGCAGGGCTAGAAGGAACCGTACTCTGACTAAATATAAAATAACATTTTTGTTATTTATCTTTTTGTTCTGCTTGTTGTGAACTACCTAAAATAAGCGCATCACATTAATGGGGCACTATATAAAACTAACAAACGGACGGACGGACTGACTGACTAACTAACTACCTGATATTTTACTTTATTCCACTAGATGTTAAACAGCTGCTGAACACTTCTGAATTGCCTTTTTAATGTGGTTTTATACATTTGGAGAGGTTTTCCAAATGAAAGAAGGTTGGCCAAAGAGGGCGTCCAAGGGTTAATTGCCAAATTAAAAATTAACCAATGACGGGATTTGCACACACTGTAGAATCGGTAGGTGAAATAGTTACCTGGCAGGGGAGATACCATGATCACGAAATAGTTGGATTTTGGAGAATAATACATAGAGTTTGTCCCAATGAAACAGGAAATGCTTACAAAGCGGTTCCTGGTTAGGGAGGAGAAAATGTCTAAGTCAGCATAATAGACCAAGCCTGGAAATAACTGGTCCTTCAAGATTACTGTATACAACATGGAGAAAAGCAAAGCATTGTTGAGGAGAACATAGCCGGGCTTTGCTAAAGAGAAGCCTCACCGATCTTCCGGCGTTCTCTGAGGTGTCAAGAAGCGTTTATAGGGGGTGTTCACGTGGGATTCCCCCAAAAAATACATATTTGCAAAGAATCTGGAGAATTGATCTTCGTGAGGGCTGTCCTCCAGACTCGAACACACTGAATTGAATCGGCCAGGTTGGGATAGCGTTGTGCGAGGCCTCGTTCAAAGTCGTTGTTGTTGTTTAGTGGTTAAGTTGTGTCCAATTCTTTGTGACCCCATGGACCAGATCTTCCACTGCCTCCCGGAGTTGGGTCAAATTCATGTTGGTCGCTTCGGTGACCCTGCCCAACCATCTCGTCCTCTGTCATCCCCTTCTCACTTTTGAACCCGTGGCCATCTCCGGCAGGAAAAAGAATGAGTTCTTCCACCCACATGCCATTGCCCTGTGGAGCTGGCGGGCTCAAATCCTGTTGCATCACCTTGTACATTACAACTGGAGCAGGCCACTGAAATCAGTGGGGATCTGAGGAGTCAGCACCACCAATAAGTCCCATTGATTCAAGGGGCCTTATCCTACTCACCATTTATTAGCCTTAACAACTTTTTTCTACTGTCTTACGCACACACATACCCAGCCTTGCTTGTTGGTTGGCACTCAGCGGCCGAGCCCCCCTCCTGACTCTGGCGATCTTTGGACTGTCAATACGCTTCTTTTCCAATGGGGGGAAAACGACATTTAGAAATTCTTAAATTCCTACTAACGGAGTGGTGATGGTAACATTGAAGGGGAGGCGCCTCCTTTCTGGCTGGGGTTCTTCCCCTCCAACGGACACCTCTGGGCGGGCACCCCAGCACCAAAGCCAACCGGGCAGTGCCAAGGAAGCGAGCCCAGGAGTCCTGCTGGGATCCAGTGGGGGTGGGGGGGGTCCTGGCTCCAAATCCACCCAGCCCGGTCAGTCACAGCACGCCCACGGTGCCTGACCCGAGAGAGGAAGGGCAGGGTCCCGATTTGGGACGAAGCTGGGCAAAGAAGGTGACCTACGGTCTAGTCGCCCCCAGCAGATTTAAAGGGGGTCATAGACTGGAAGCCATTTTTCACACGCCAAATGATAGGATTTATACCATCTTGATGCCACTGATGTTTCTTCCATATGGTGTTTACGACTTTGGCCAACCACAAGAAGAACAACATTATTGTGTTTATTTAAAATATTTTCACCTTGCCTTTCTCTGGAAGGCGGCCCAAAAAAAAAGGGGGTTAAGAATGGCTGTTGCAAAGCACCTTGAAGGCTCTAGCAATTTTGTTCGGCATGAGCATAAACAAGCAAATCAACAAAGTCTGTCCCTTTCCGGTTTTCTTGCTGAACTTTCTGCGGTCTCGCCCTAGACCAGGCAGGTAGAGGAGACCTGGCACAGGGCTTCGGTGTCGCATCAGCCCCAGCCGCAGTGGGATGCGGTAAATCATCGAGTCTAGGATTGCTCAGTTCCCCTTTCTCGACCGGAGGAGGGACTCCGTTATGGGCACACGCAGAATGTTTGTTTTAACTGAACGTTCTCGTTGCTTCTGACACGAATGAAGAAGTGGTAGGTGGATATCAAAAGGATTTTCCCCAATTCAAGTGTGCTACCATGGCGCCATTTTCCTTGTTTTGTTGGAAAACCTCGTGGTTTGTTAAAAATTGAAGGGGGTGGGAAAAATGAAAATTTTCAGCCACTCTGTTCATAGTTCAGGAAAGTCCCCAAAGAGGTTCTGGGGATCCCGTGTCTTGCAAGTGCTTTTGAACAGAGCTTGGGGATTTTGCCTTTTTGACCCTGTCATTTCTATAATGCCTTCCCTACCTTGCTCCACTTGCCAATAAGCGCCTATTCTTATAGTCTGAAAAAAAAAATGTAACATTACCAAGGCCTTCTTTTGGAGCAGCTGTCATGGGCCACTAGTATCACGACCGACAATAAAAGTGAACACACCTCAGCATGTTTGATGGGGGGAGGGCATCACAGAGCAATGGGTTTTCCTGCACCAACCCTTTAAGGTGGGTCACTGGTACCATGCCCTCCAACTCACTTTTAAAGCTGCCATTTCGGTTTTGTATGAAATTCACTCTAAATTTTCGGGCCACACCAGAAGCCTTAGAGGAAGAATATAGAGAAAGACAGAAGTACCGTATTTTTCCGTGTATAAGACTCCCCCATGTATAAGACGCCTCCACTTTTCTAATCCAAAATTAAGAAATCCAAATGGGGCTTAGCAAGGGAGAGGGGAAAGGGATCAGAGTGCTGCAGGATCGCTTTGATCCCTGCTTTCCTCTCCACTTGTTTTTGTTCTCTCCTCAACTTACTTCCGTATATAAGACAACCCTCCATTTTTAGTCTAAAGATTTTAGAAAAAAAGTATAGTCTTATACACAGAAAATACGGTAAACTCAGGCAGCGATTTTAGAAAAAAGTATAGTCTTATACATAGTAAATACGGTAAATGCAGGCAGTCTATATGGTGGTGGTGGTGAGGGAGAGGTATTAAGCTTAATAATAACTTAAGACCAAGTGTGTAAATCAGGGGTGAGGGAACATCTGACCTTCCAGATGTTTCCAGCTGCAAACCACAGCATCTCTGACCTTTGAGTGTGTTCCCGTTTCTGCGTCCACTTTGAGGACAAGACGACCCACATTGGGCTGCCCCGAGACATTACGCTGCCTGAGTCAATGCAGCAAGACATCAGGTTCAAAGCATCAGGCTTGGACTCCCAGTTCCAGGTGGCTGGTGGATTCTGGGAATTTGAGTCCTAAAAAGGCTAATGTTTCCAGGCATTGAGCAAATGAGGTCCCAAAGTCGAGGTGTGCTTTACTTGAAAGACAATGTGTATTTATGGTGGCACTTCAGGCAGAAAATCTTCCTCTTGCTGGCTCTGGAAATGTCAAAAATCAAGTAACTGGATGGCTGAAAGGGGCCACCTCTCTGGGCCCACACAAGCCCAGCGGGCAAGGGAAACCTTATGCACACAGCTGCCTCGCACGGCCAGTGTGTTTCTATGCGACCGCTGCCTCCCAAAGGGGTAACGCTCTGATCACAGAATCTGCACCCAGACAGGAAGACCTGCTTGCCATCTTCTTTGGGCTCAGAGGTGCTAATTAAAAGGCATGCATTAATTGGCAAGGGGAGAGCTAATCAAGGAGGCCTCTGGTGTCACTGCCTTTCAGGAGGGCTAGACCACCCATCACCTGGCCCCGAAAACAACCACCAGGAGCGGGGCCTCCTCGGTGGCGGCCACAACACTGTGGAGCTCACTGCCCGTTGATGCCCGCCAAGCGCCCTCCCTGCTGTCCTTCAGGAAAACAGCTTAAAATGGGTTAATTCAGACGTGTTCAGGCACATCCTCCCCGCACGAGAGATTTCTTGACCAATCCTATGCACTTTTATTTGATCTAGCCGACACTGTCAGGGAGTGGGTGGGTTGCGCTATGTTATATCATGCTCAGGTTGGGTTCTGTTGTTGTTATTTATATTTTTGGACTTGCGTCTCGCTTTGGTCAGCCGCCCAGAGGAGTGGCTTGCCGCAAGAGGGTTGGGGTGTAAATGCAACGAATAAATGCCGGCAGATGGGATTTGTGATTCCACAGCGTTCGGAGGGCTGTCTGATCCCTAGCAGATAGTTCCCTCCCTTCCCGAGGGCCAAAGTAGGAGGGGAAACCATCTCTTTGCGGCCCTTAATTGAACCCCAACGTGGGGCTCCCTGACGCTGAAGCCCAACTGACCGAGAGGGTTGCAAGCTGAAAAACAAACAGCCGCCCACTTACAGGTCCTTTTGCTGAAAGAGATAAAGCCGTCTTAGCAGACTTAATTTCTCCTCTGAGCTTTGGAAAGTTACATACTTGATCTGTGATGGCCAGAGAATTCAAGAGCGGTTATTGTTATGTGTTGTCAAGTCGCCTCGGACAGATGGTGACCGAATCAATGAGGGGCCTCCAAAATGTCCCGTTCTCAATGGCCTTGCTCAGCTCTTGCAAACTCAAATGCTGTGGCTCCCTTTAGTGAGTCAGTCCGTGTCGTATTGGGTCTTCCTCTTTTCCTGCTACTTTTCCCATCATTCTTGTCTTTTCCTGAGAAACCTGCCTTCTCAGGATGCACCCAAAGAAGGACATTGTCATTTTTTTTTTTTTAGTTTCGGGAGTTAAGAGACCAAAAAAACCCACCTAACGTTTCTAAACCCGAGCCATGATGTTCCCCAAATCCAGAAGGCAATCAAACGAAATGAAACAGACCCCAAATCAAGAACCACGCAGCTCCAGAACCCAGCGGGTTTTCATTGGTTTTTAATTATTCGTTGCCGTAGGCGATAATATTTCTATGCAAAATACTCTCTTATATCTCCCCACCCACCC